AGAACGATATAAATTCATGATGCATATTTCATTCATTTTGATCACGCTGAATTCGAAAATTTGTTCAATAGCTAAATGCTTATATTTATCCAACAAACAAATAGAATCCTTGATAAGATGATCTCTTACAAAGATGGCAGAGCCACCATTTTTATGAATAGAACGACTAAAATAAGACATCAATTCAAAATCTTTGGGGACACAGTATTCCATATTTTCACTTTTCATCCAATGTTCAGACACACAGAAAAAATCAACATTTTTCCCCTCATTTGCAAAGAATATATTCAGCTCAGCGATTTTATTACTCAGACACTGAATATTTTGATGCATTTGTACTTTGGGTATTACGAAAGTTATAACGTTTACTCTCTGTAGAATTCGATAGTGGGGAATACGTTTTCCTTTCAGTTGATGACCTTGATTCTTCATTTCCTTCTAGAATTGACCTGTGCGTGCTCCCCATCTCCCCTCGTGGAACATTCTGGTAGCTCGAGACTGCATTTTCATCATTTGGTTGGTGTACTTTGCTCAGTATGCTGTTTGATTTTAAAACTAGATAATTTCACTATCATGGGCTGACAGCGATTACTATCTTTTTTGCTATCACTGTTTATTTGCATGTCCAGTTTTTTTTCGAACAGATCTAAAACGACTTCTTCTGAGATCTCAGGATTTCTTTCCTCGAGTCCAAATATAATTATATTTTTAGCTCTAATTATGCTCTCTAAGTAGTCGACACGGCTTTTCAAATCATCAACCGTGTGATTAAGATTCGTTACCTCCAATTTTACTTGCTTCATGTTAACAGCTAGTGCAGCAGAGAAATCATGACTCAATTCCCTTTTCAGTTCTCCATTTTTCTGATCCATAAATGCACTAATTTTTTCCAATGATTCCTTATTAAAAATGTCAGACACTTTGTACAGCTTCTAAAACAACTAGATTTGAAGAAGAAATACTACAGACTGAAAAACACAACCGCACGATACAGCGCCTACTACTGTACTATAATACCCACTAATATTTCCAAGAGTACTACTGTACTGTATATCAATTACGAAATAGCCACAATGCTCAAAGTAGAATGAAATGTTGAATGAATACAAAAATCTCAAATCATATCTACACAATGTTCATAAAATGAACAACAATGGTATATTTTGGGAGAAAAACAACTACCTACTATTCTGAATAATGCCACGCAGAACATTGAATAACATTCCCCCGAAATCTATGCATCGACTCGTATAAACGAATACTGATACAAGTTGTTGGAAACTCTGCCATTACAAGTGAATCTTTCCTGAATGCCTATTGATTTCGATTTAGCCAGGCCACGCTAGACACCTACAGACTGGTTTCGAGCTCTTTGATTCTCATCAGTGTAGGGCAGTCTACAACCAGCAGTTCTAAGATCGCCGACTGAGCGTAGCCTAAGCAAACAAAAATCAAGTCGGCATTATATTCCCCTGACTATTTCGTGAAATATATAACGCCGAATATTAATTTTGGAGTGTTTCTTTTCTTCGTTTCTACTCAGATAGCGTTGCTTTCATATTGTCTATGAAGGACGCTTCTGGGGGAATATAATGCAGACTTGATTTTTGTTTGGCTAGGCTACGCTTTGTCGGCGGTCTTAGGACTGCTGGCTGAAGACTGTTCCGCACTGATGAGAGTCAAAGAGCTCGAAACCGGTATATAGGTGTCTACCGTGGCCTGGCGATATCGAAATCAATAGGCAGTCAGGAAAGATTCACTTGTATCAGTATTTGTTCATACGAATCGAGGCATAGATTTTGAGAGGATTTAATTCAATATTCTGCGTGGCATAAGTCAAGAAAGTAGTTATTTTTTCCCGAAATCTACCATTGTTGTTCATTTCATGAACATTGGGTAGATATGAATCTTAGATTTTTGTATTTATTCAACCTTCCAGTAGTCGCGCCTTGAAAAGGACGTAGTCTGTCGCTGCGGAGTCTGACTCCGCAATGGAGAATTTGGGTGATTTGAACATGATGACTTGAATTTTTCCGAAGATTTCATCAGTATGCATTTGGACATGCATATCTCTAGGGAGTGAAATGTCGAAATTGCAATAAAAATATATTTATTCAATAACAAAACCCAAAATTAACATAAGACAACTATCGACGATTTGATAACTAGAATTCAAACAAATACACTATGATTTGAGGACAAACTGAAAATGTTTCAATCTCAAACCACCAATGACTCATCGGCAATCTTTGCAAATGAATAAAGCGGGTTCTGATAAGCACATGAATTTTCCACATGTACTACAATAAAATTGGGAGTATCTATTTTTTATCACATCAGCATCGATCATGTGTGTTTAAAAACCGATATTTCATGAAATATTATTCATCAAATGAGACAACGCCCAAAATAGCTGCAAAGTGTAACTGCAATGTGCAATATAACTAAAACGTCTAAGGTCGCTGCGGAGTACGACTCCGCACCATGCTATGAAATTCAAGAACGAAGCAATTCTGCTCATCGGTGATACTTGATTCGTACTGAAGTCGTCATTTTAGGAAGATATTGAGTGCGGCGGAATGAGGGAATGAAGTATATTCGAAAAAACTCACTTTTTATATTCGTGCAGAGTGATACTCCGCGTGCGACTACTAGACGGTTGAAATGGAAATATGTTGTACCTACATCAAATGGATGTCCATGCTGTCTAGACATAGAGGTCCATCGGATGTTCATTAGACATCATTCTAATACAGGCTGATTTTAAAATGAATGCATATATTCAAGACATATATATGAGAAAGTCTAACAAAAATTACTGAAATATTTGATTTTTTCTAAGTCTTCACATTAACGAGAAATTTCATTTCGAAAATTGAACATAAAATGCTTCGAAATTCGAGTACGTCACTGGGAAGCAAGTGAAATCTGCGGAATCCCAGGGAATCCCCAATTCGTCATTCACTAACGTAAAAACGAGACAGTGATGCCAGATTGCTTCAGAGACGAATATCCTGATAAAAATTTGTCACAGAATGAATATGAATTGGAATAGGTTATGGGAACTAATAGAGGTGAATGTAGTATGTACAGGAGCCTTATTTTTCAAAGTTTACTGAGAGAACTGTGGGGTGATTATCTCCATGGATCACGGGAGACGGAGAGAAACATGAGGGTTATGATAGAACGTCCCCCTTCCTTCAATTCGAAAATAAGGCTCCAGCGGATAGATACAAAATTAGCAGACAATAAATAGGTACACAACATACAAAAAGTTGAAAATCGACTCGCCTAGTAGATTTTCTCATACCTGCTCGAACAGCAAAATTCCCGAGAGCAAACAAATACTAATATCGAGTCCATTCCAGACTAATAGCGTCCTTTGTTCTTGTGGGTTCATATTCGCACTTAAACCATCGAAAACGACTCGACGACGACATATCCTTCCTGACAATTTCACATTGAAAATCACGATCAAGACCATATCACGATTATCATGACACAAGACACAACATCAAATTATTTTATTTTTATTTCACGTTCACAATTATTTTACAAACCAGCAACCACACAAACAAAACTATTATCATATGATCTGTCAACATCATTTCTCAGAACAGTAGTATTTGTGACCATAGATTTCCTCTTCGCTGTGACCTTTGACAGTACTAACTAGGATTGTTCGCGTTCAGAAAATAAACAATCCGAAACCGTCAGAAGCATGCACAAGTCCACAGAACCCAATAAAATCATACAGTTTTGTGAAACTGCGCATGCTTCTGACCGTTTCGGACGCAAGAATTCAGATGACCATGAATTACTTACTAATAGGCGATTTCTACGGACCAATCAGAAACAGCATGGTAGCGCCTGCGTGGTTGCGATTCATCCTGATTGGACACAGCTGATTGGATTTGTGAGAATAGTGTTTAGTGAGGAAGTATCATTTCATTGAATTAAACTAATAGATGTTTTTTCCAAATTAGTTCTTTATGAAAATGGTAATTTCATTTGAAGATATGATCCTTCCTCTCTAATACATTAATCTCAATCACCTGTGCCCAATCAGGATGAATCGCAACCACGCAGGCACTACTTTGCTGTTTCTGGTTGGTCCGTAAAACTCGTCTATAAGTAATTCATGGTCATCTGAATTCTTGCTGGCAGGACACCATAAGAACAATCAAAACAAAGACCCTTTCTTGACAGTTTGTTGTTCTGAGAATGTATGTTATTTTGGAAAACGTCAAAACGTGATACTAGTAAATGTAAAGTTTTGTTTCTGACAATTTGCTTGGAATGTGACGATGCATTTCTCAAACATTGATCTGATTGATATGGTTCCTATGTCAAGTCGTTATTGTGCGGGGCCCATGAGACTCCTCGAAGGACACGAATTTGTAGCGATGCAAGGAGGTGGAAGAAAGGGTCTAAAGGATTTTTCAGTAAAAGAACTTCCAACCGTGAGGTGTTAAGTTATACGCTATTCGAGCTTATGTGTAGAAATCTTGGGTGAGTCCATTTTAAAGTTTTGTATTATCTTTCTGAAATTCAAGACCAGGGTTAACTTCTTCCCCATGTACATTTTCTCGATTATACATTTTATTTAATATCTCCTAATTTTCATGTAGAGTGGCAACGTCACTTCGTTTATCACGGTCGACTGCGGATCGCAAACGATAGTTGTGACAGAAGTAGAAATCTGGGCGGAAAAAGGGTATTTTGCCCCAAATCTATCTTGATCCTAATAAAATTTTTAAAAGTGCTATTTGGTATACCGAATATACTATAGTATACTTCAAGCTCTCTTAGTGTTTAAAATATATGCACTTATTTTAAAATCAGCCTGTATATGAGCATGTATAATAACTAACCAAATACGAACGGAGAACGATATTTCTTCTAGGCGTAGGGATTTTAGTTACATTTACCCATTGTTTTGTCGATGGAGAAAATGCATTAGTTTCCATCATCCCGATCATCCAATCCTCTCGTTTCAGATCTGCCCGAGGGTGCCATCAACCAGCTGGAAGTGGCTGGATCGAAGACCGCCGTTCTGGAGGCGGACATTTTGGCCGGCTGCCAAGTGCAAGTTCTCGTCCTCAACAACAACCGCTTGCACCACATCGCCGACAGAACTTTCAGGTGAGGAGCGAACGGAAAAATCGGATACAATATGACGAATACTTATACAGGGTGTTTCAAAAAAACCTGACCCCCTTGCTAGGGTAGGTAGATCACTGCAAAATAAGTTGGGTTTGCTCAGTGAAAAAATGTCTTAACGGCATCCGTTTCCTTGATACAAGGTGTTGAAAAAATTACTTTTTTACACATTTTTCACGATTATATCGAAACTACTGGAAACATTGTGATGACATTTTGTACGGATGTTTCTTGAAATCTGACACATCGCATGAATTTGTTTTTATATCTGACTCTCATAGAGGGCGCTAGTTACACGGTTCGTACCGAGTAGTTTAGAACATAACTTTTTTGAAGTTAGATTTCCCAATACAAATATGATATAAACTTAAACCTCATCCAATTTTACACCAAAAAGGAACTCGTGGTGAAACTCGATACTATGTTCTGTTTTCGGAATATTTTGATTTGAAACTATTGGAGTAGTATTGATGCTGGTATAAAATGAATTTTATTGAGCTCAATCACCTATTTATTCAGATTCAAAAACAATAGGATCATTCTTGTGCTGAAGGACATTTTGAACACTTACTCTAACTGATTCAATATTTCATGTTTCTTGTCAAATATCTCTTAATTTTCAACTTATGATTCTTTGTTCCATCAATAACATCACGAATACACGATTCTATATTCTTTTCTTAAGAATGTATTATTTTTCTAAACAGTTGAGGATCAGGTGTTAGGTCATTTAAGTGATGTTCAATTATGTCTCACAACTCTTGACGTGAATTTACCTATTTACCTTTCATCTGCTCAAGATACAACAAAACTGTGTAATCCATGTTCTTAGTCAAATCTGTTTCGATGTTATTCTTGTGATTCATTGTTAAATCAATAAGTTTAGCATCAGAAATGTATTGCTGTTTTCGGTTTTCAATAAATAGATGATAATTTTTCATAATACTCGCTCTATTACATAGCTTTATACCAGCAACAGTTATCACTTGATCATTTTCAAATCGAAATATTTCGAAAACGGAACACAGTATCGAGTTTTACCAGGAGTACCTTTTTGGTGTGATATTGAATGATGTTCCAAGTTCACATCAAATTTGAATTGAAAAATCTAACCTCAAAAAAATTATGTTCAAAACTACTCGGTACGAACCGTGTAACTAGCGCCCTCTATGAGAGTCAGATATAGAAACAAAGGCATGCGATGTGTCAGATTCCAAGAAACATCCATACAAAATTTCATCACAATGTTGCCAGTAGTTTCGACATAATCTTGAAAAATGTGTAAAAACACCCTGTATAAAATATAAAGAAGGGGGCACAATCCTTTTCATATTTTTTGTCTACGTACTGAAGTAGGTACTCCGATATTTCCATGGACGAAGCTTTTCTGAAATATCAACAATTGTACCTCCCTTATTGGCAGTCAACGCGAGATTAACCTGTCGAGTTGGGGCTTCGCACCCCTTCGTGGTCACTTTGGAGACCTGCACAACATCTCTTTCCAAAGACTCGTTCATCCAACGAACAGTAAGGCTCGGGCACACATTGCCAAGGAAGGTGTTGCCCGAGGCATATAACCTTCAGAAATTCATGAAGAACACCAATTCCTACTTCATTACTCTTGGTTCTCACTATGTTCTCTGAACATTACAGGATTATCCGTTTTCGTGGAAAACAGAACATAAAAAAAACAGTGTCAGACTGGATTAGTTCACTCAGGAACAACAAAAAATTATGATGATTTTATCAACCTGAATTATATTATCTGAATAGGTATACGTATGGTTGGTTTTCTTGTGAGCTACCAAGGTGATATATGAAGTGAAAGAAAAACGATTCAAAAGGTGTATGGTATCATGTTTCAATAACACAGAACTGATATCTCTGTTCACAACAAGTCTGAGAGATGCCAAATATCTGTGATCAATTTTCGTGAAGACTGGTTTACGCTGCCAATTCAAACTCCTTCAAATTTGAATCAGAATAAACAGACAGTTTTAATGGGTAGCACACAGATTTGTATATCTAATATTTCACGAATTCCATAACCCTATCCATTGACATCTGTCACTTCTATGATTATTGAAGATATTACTTTGGGGTTAAAATTTTGGAACATATTCTTTCTACCGATTCTTTCCTTCGATTGCCACAAAGCAATTCTATATTATTGAAAATACAAAATTCTGAGAACCGTATGATAATCCCGTCTATGACATATACTTTCTTGAATTCTTCAACTTTCAAAAAACCTCAAGTAATTGCTCTTTGGTGTCTTTTCCTTCAGAAAATGAAGCATGGGTAGTTGAAAAATCTCAAATCTCTTCCTTACGATGAGCATCGTTTGGAATATCCCAGCTGCTGAAGATAAAATGTCGCCAAAAGTTAGGAAAAAAACCGCTAGAAGTCGCCAAAGCGAGCGAAGCGAGCAGGAAGCCCGCCGCATGCGAAATTTCTGAAAATTTTGCGACTTTTTTTCGTGATTTAGCGACATTCTTGATCATAATTCATCATTTACAGTTAGTTTATATCATCAGATAAAAAATCGTAAAAAACTTCATTTATTCAGATTCTGTGCAGAATGAAAAAATACAATTGCGACACGTTGCAAATCAGTCGCATTCACCTACCCTAAAAACTCTAGATTTAGCGACAAAACCGCTAAGATGGCAACCCTGCTGGATATCGACTGACGCCGTCCCTAGCAATCGAGTCGCTACCCCAACAATCAGTGACTTTAGTCTATTTGGGCTATAGGAGTGATATAGGCAACTTCACGAGTAGCTACGTCAAGAAGTTATTCAAATATTCATTCACATTTTTTTTCATGAATTCAAGAGATAAGTGGATGAAGCAAAAATAATTGAACGAGTTGTGACAAGATACTGGAAACTTGTGGGGTGAAAACTGGATAGTTTATCGATAGAACTCATGTGTCGAAATATACAGGGTGTTCTGAAATTGAAGCGATAAATGATGTTGGTAGTAGAAGATTCAGAACGAACCGAAATAAAAGTAAGAATACAAGTACGAGAGTAGTTGGGAAGATATTTCATTTCAAAATCCAACTATTAGAAGTGGATAGTCGAACCCAAGCGTATATGCTGCCATCGAACACTGCAAGTATCGATGACTTTAGCAATGTTGATCGACAAAGATTAACATAAGTGAATTCACACATAACTGAAATAAATTTGAGTGAAGTAACCACCGAATGTGACTCATTTGAGAGATTATTATGATGATTTAAGTGAATAGATAGGAGCAAGGCCTCAGCACACTCTCCTCTACAAGTAACAATTATTCGAGTTGTAATCCATTATGTCAACAGAGAGTATATTCTTTTTAGGCCCTAAGAGTTGGAGTTCAACTTCAGCTCCTAGTAACATAAAGTGTGGCTTGGCAACATAGGTACCTATTTTCGTGTCACTTAGAAAAACGTCAACATCAAGAGCTAGATTTCAAAATCAAAATTAACCACATTTGAGTCGGTTGCAAAAAACCGTATTTTTTTACCGGTGAAAAATTCGCACAATTGCCAAACTTGATTGATGGGGGATGTATCCATATCTTCAATTCGAATACAGATTCCGTAAGTTATAGTGCCAACAGTGAATTGAGGCGGTGTATGCTTGATTGCCTTCATTGATGCATCCAGACAACCCAGCCAGCAGGGTGACGTCAATTCTCGTCGAATCGACATGGATAATAGGTGGCAATTGGTCGTCGTCAAGATTCGACCAATAATTGACGTCATTTTGACGTGTTCCAAAAACGTTTCTGATAGACGTCATTCGACGTCATTTAGACGTAACATCTGCACCAATCATTTTGTTTTATTTCGAAAAAATTACTCCATGAACTGCATATCCAGGACTCATGATTGAACGATTATCAAAATAAAATAGGTCCTCAAACTGCTCATGATTGCGAGCACTCTCAGTTCTCGCCAGTGGCAATTGATGCGTATATCTCATAGGCTCGCTTGAGGGCATTATATGAGAATTTCTGCGTGGGATATATTTGAGACCTTGCTGAGCTCAGCCTAGGTTGCAGATATTTGGAGGAGATATAGCGCTCTCGGCGATCTCTCAAAGAAGTTACAAAAGGCATCACAATTTCCTAGAATGATATCTTCGAGATATCCCCAGGACCTTCCCAATCAGCACCAGACATCTTAAAGACGTACATTTTACGACTTACTTACGTCTTTACGTCCAGGCGTCCAGGGACGTATAAAGTACGTCTTTAAGATGTAAAGCCATGTACATCTTAAAGACGTACACGAATTTACGTCTTTAAGACGTACATTTTAGGTCGTATCCACGTTGTTCCTCCCATGTTGTATAAAAGACGTCTTAAAGACGTACATTCCAGTACGTCAATTCGAGTTATAGAACAGTAATGTAAGTTATTTTCTGAAGAAAAACAAAATGTCATCTCTTCACGTTTTTTATTTTCAATTGTTCAGTTTTTTCTCATTTTCAACAAAAGTGATGTTTTTGAATTTTTTCGTCCGACGTTCTGGAGCCTTCGTGTTAGATTCTCGAATTTTTACAGAAAAATCATATTCTCCGACCCCAAAAGTCCCATAGTAATCAATTTTGAATAAAATCGGACTATAATCACAAAACTCGACGTCCGCCATTTTGAAGCCGACATCTTGGATTTTTCATTTTCGACAAAAGGAATTATAATCTCTGATCCCGAAATGCCAATTTTGAATCAGATCAGTCCATAATCAGAAAACCATATGCCACATTGGATTCACCATCTTTAATATTGAATTTTGATTCGAATCGGAACATAATCAATGAGAAAATCGTCCGCCATATTGGATCCGCCATTCTGTTTTTTTCATTCAATAATAATATCACAACGAATTGTCACCGGAATAATATTTACTTGCCAAATTTCAAATCAATCGGACGATTTAAAGTGAGTCAAATTCAACTTGCACGTTTTGATTACAAACAGACACA